GTCATGCACAGTTGAAGCCCCCATAGGCAAGGTTCAATCTACCATGTACCCTTTCCTCCTGTACATTCTTGGACCAACCTACTGCTGTTCTCACATTCATAGTCTTCCCAGTTCTTTGCAGCTGTTTTGTAATATAAATTCTTCAGAGGAAGTTGAATGAACCTCAGGGAATGAAAGTGAACTTGATATGGTCTATTAACAAAGTAAACTTATATCTTATTAAAGCAACACTCTTCTTTGCCTTCTGAACTTACAATGTGTTCATTCAGATGCTAGTGTTATCAGAAAAGACAAACACAGCTGGTCTCAAGTAATTTGAGTGTAAAAGAGTAAACTTTTTTTCTTTTTTTGAGAGAGAAAGAGAGAGAGAGAATATCAAGCTCATATTAACCTTGTGGAAAGACACCAACAGTCTCCTCGGTCCCACTGAGTTATTTTCCCCTCTCCTTTTTTGAAATGCAGACAAATGCTGGGGGTGAACTTCAACAATGTTGTCAGTTTGCAAACAAAGTCTTGAATAACATCACGTACCTGTACCAACAAGTCCTACCCCTTGTCTTATATGGGAAGGGGATGTACAAAGACTAGATCCTACCTTTTGATTGTTCAGTCTTGGGCATTTAGGTGATGTTTGACAGAAAAAGATGAAGGAGAGTTCAGGATTTGGATTTCAAAGTAAAGCGACAAATCATGGTTTCAATGTCTTATTGCCTTGACTTGACTTTATAAGCACAATCTTGGGCTGCCATCCAACACAATAAAAATATATCATCAAATACCAAGCTGAATGTAATTAACTGTGCTTGGAATGGAATACTAACTTGCCACTTACTGAATACTTAGTATACATTGTATAATGCATACTATTTTAATAAAATAGTATTTGAAACAGTATGCATTATGCAACAACAACATTTCTAAACAGTAGTATGATACATTATCACATTACTTCACATTATACATACTGTATACTGCTGAAACGATAAGAGTATTATGTTTGTGTGCTTTCTGAACTCAAGCTTGAGAGTCCTTGTGGGACGTTTCCCATGTGTCCCATCGAAGCTCAAACAGTATGTGCGGTCACTTTGAAGACATAACACTGAGGCCAGATTCACCCTTGACCCATATAAGCCACTTCGTCTGAACTTAAACATCCTCCATGGTTCAGGAAAAAACATTCATCTTCAACTTACTTTTTGCAATCCATTTTACTTCCACAATGTGACGTATTTGAAAGTGGGAAAAAAAAAAAAGATATTGTGGGACTTTTTATCTACTGGTCACTGACTGGAGTGAACCATTCCCTGATAAACCACTGCTCGCTGCCATTAATGTTTTAGGAGGGGCCATATACTTTAAATTATGCAAGAAAAATCTGTTACACAACTTCTGTTATGAAGTTTGGAAAATTTGGTGTGGTTAAAAGCAATCTGATGTAGCACTGCTCTTAATCGTGTCATATTTCGACTCTGTCCCAACTTGGCTTTGTGATGGCATGCCTCAAGAATTCCTGTCCTAGATTTGGTTCCTGCACCCTGTGGCAGTGCTACTCTTTCCATAGATAATAAAAAAGTTTTCTTTTGTCTCCATGAAATCTACCATGATCCTACATTGCTCATGATTTAATAGATATTCCTAAGGGATAGGGTGGGATCCATCACTAACAGAATGAATTACTTTGCAATATTAAAACCACATGAACACCAGGGTGTTGTTTCATTTAATAACATTTAACCCAGCTGTGTCTTTCTGCCTTGCACCTGCTATTAAAATGTATTGTTGACATAACAATCTTGACATTGCTGCCAAACCTCAAAATAAAACACCTATGTCCCTAAGCATTTCAGTGAGTGAGCAACCAACAACAGATAAAGTGAAATAATTTGATAAGTCAGACAAAAAAAATGTGAAAAACACATAAATCTGGCTGTTATTGTCCAAGCATGTTGTTTTGCACTAGGATTCAGTTTCCTTGGCATCTTGAAAAGTTTTCACATCATTGCACTTGCCATTATGTGTAACCATGTAATTTATTTTTCAAAGATGAGCTGCTTCCATTTACAAAAAAGTAAATGGCATTCAGTACTAGTGTAAATTTCTAACCCAAAACATCCTGATGTGTCCCCTACCTTTATCTTGGCAGGTCCAAACATGAGGGTCCACAGAAGCTCTGCTGGGCTGCACTGAGGATGCTTGCGTTGACTGGGCCGCACTGCTCTGTCTCTCTGAGAGTGTTATAGCCTGTCAGCGTTTTTAAGACATCTCCCTCCTGCACTCCCAAACTCAGCATGCCATGAGGAGCCAGGGAAAAAAGTGCAGGAAAGGAGGAGAACAGAGGGAGGAGCATGGATGCATCTAAGAGGGTGGGGTGAAATTAAAACAACAAAAAGGACAAAGTCAAAAGAAAAGAAACCTTCTAAAAAATGGGCCAGAGTGGACCAAGTGGATAGAGGAAAGTGCACAAGACTGTGGAAAAAATAGAAGAAAGAGAGAAAAGAGCAGTGCCAGATAAAAGTAAGGCATTGTGTTCCACCTTGTTCCCAGACGTTTCTGCTGCTGCAGACAGTTCCAGAGAACCATGATTAGCATTTTAATAACACAATCATTTCAGATAAGATTATAGGACTGTAAAAATAGTAAACCTTAGAAGCAATGTAGGCCTACTATATTGACAGCAAACTGAAATACATTGAAGATTATATTTAATATACATTTTTTTAACCAAGAATCAAGTCTAGAATGCCTGTATCACCAGTTAAAGTTTGCCTGTATCACCAGTTAAAGTTGAACTATAAGTGGTTATACACTGTAGGTCAGTATTTACTACATACTGTATAAATAATTTAAAATGTGTGAATGCAAAGATTACATAATTTCAATATAGGATAATTTGGCTAAATTTTGGACTAAAAATGGGCCTTTTTGTGGCTAAAGAGAGCCGTTAGCTTTACCATTCAACTTCAGGGCATTCAGTTATACAGGAAAACACAAAATCCTCAGTCATAATCTGACCATCTCTGTAATTTGGCCAGATTGGCTGTTTTGCCATTGTGCTGTGCATTCCTATGGAATGTCCCCATAAAACATGGAAACACAACATGTGTGTGTGTGCCTTATCTAATGTCAATTTTATTTGTTGAAACTATTTAATTTTTTTTAAGTTTTGCAGAAACATTCATATGTAGGTACAATTTTAATTTGTCTAAAAATATGTCTAATTTTAAGTTTTAAAGCCCCAACCTTTGGACCTTTAGAAAAGTTTTTCAACATTGAGGGACACATTTGTCAGCATTAGTATTTGTCTAACTTTTAACTGGTTGTGTATAATTTTTAATGTTGGTTTAAAAAAAAAGGAGTAGGTGTCAATGTTATTTATCAACTACCTTTATACTGAGCAACTTTCAGTCAAGGAAAAAGGGATGCTGTTCAAACGTTGTTGGTAATCAGATCCAGACTCTTGCTTCCCATGTGTATAATCTCTGCAAAGTGCTTTTCCTCCCAGTCACCTGATTCATCATGACATGAGGTGTGTGGTTACTGTTACTAAGAAAATACCTGATGTTTAAGTTCATGAACATGCTAAATGGTGCAATGGTAAACATGACTGAGGAAATAGCTGACTTCCAAATTGTATATGAAACAGTCTAAGCAAATGGGGTCTGTAAGTACATGAACACATAAGACTTTGAACTTAAAGGTCATAATTTGGAAGATTTTTTTTTTAGCACTGTGGATCTACATATTGTCCTACATGTATTTTCATATTAAAACATCACACAGAGAAATATCAAACTTGCAAAATATGTTTAAAAAAATGGCACAATACTGACCTGTGTTGCCGACCGTTTCTTTTTTCCCTGCTCCGTTTGTTTTCTGCTGTTCATATCAAAGACCACTAGATGTCCTCATTAACAAATAAATCTTATTGCAAATACATTGGAAGTGTGATAAATTAATCTATATAGTGTTATTAATATTTTTATATAATAATGTTTAATATTTATGTTATATTTGTTTTTATATCTTGACGTAACTATTTGTAATTTATTTTAGGCAAGTAAACATGAGAGGTCACATGAATTTAAACTAGACTGTTAATCTAAAAATAATTCTAAAATCACGCTTTCGGCTCTACAATATTTTTATTTTATTTTTTTTTCTATTTCCTGAACGGGTCTTTGAGTTACTCCGAGATGATCATTGAAGAACACGTGCAAGACTGTTACGCAATCTGCTGGAAAACATTACAGCCATGTGACCATTTCCTGATTGGATCCTGTGTGACCAAGCGAAAGAGCGTCCGCCAATCAGCGAGCGGGTGGGCGTGACCAGGACCCTGCAAACTCTTGAGAGGGTACAAGATGTTACTGTTCCACTACTGTCCCACTGCCTTTGCCTCACAGCGGCTCCCCCGGTCAATGGACAGTCAGCTGGACAGCCATAAGAGCAAAACAGATGGAGCACGTCTTACAGAGATGACGCATTGTCTTAAGATTTTAAGCCTAGTGTTTTTCCAAAGCATTTACGATTTGAAATTGTAGGTCTGTTGTTGGACCGAAGTATGCGAAGCCAAATGTCAGTTTTCAATTTTTTATATTATGTTTCTTATTATTATTTCTATTTATAGTTATGTTACTAGTATTTTGTTTTATTAATCTTATTTGAAACCAGTAGTAAGTAATCGAATAGTGATTGGTATTTATAGAATATATAACTTTTGTAACATTAAAAATGTACGTTGAAAAATTGGAATGCACACTAATAAATGGAAACTACTGTCTATCCAGTTAATACTGTATGCCAAATACATAAATGTGAATTCGACAGAATAAATACTTGTTAGTTCATCTTTAAGGAACACACGTTAAAACTGCTGGCTAATGCACATCACTGAATAAGATCTATCTGGGACGAACGTAAAGATGTCCATAATAAATTTATTTTATTAAATTTGGTGTTCGGGACAGTTAATGAGACTGACCTAAAGAAACCCATCCAGCGTTGCTCCCACGTGACTGTGGCGAGCGAGGCGTTGCCAGGGGGAAGTGACGTCACGGCGCTACGTTCGCGTTCACCACAGGAGATACGAGGCCTGTGACAAGCTTCTTGCGACGGTGGTCCGTTCTTAAAATCCACCTCCATCTTCCTTATCCTTAGGGAAAATGGTGACCAAACCGACAGGAGCATAATCTACAGACTCTAAGCTTTCGCCTGATCACAATATTGTGACATGTCGGACTTTTATATATTAGAAAAGGAATGGTGAAAAGTGAACTCCGTCGGAAGAATCCGAATTCTCCTCAGGGATTCGGGGGGGTTGGGGTCGCGTAAAGATATATAGGATCGTAGCAGTTAAATAACGCGTACAAATATTAGCGTAAACCCAAATTTAAAGGCCGACAGAATCTGGTTTAATATAAATTAGCTGAATACAATCGAGTGACTCGTTCGAGAGAAACCAATAAACACAGCGATGGAGCTACGAGTTGGAAACCGATACAGACTGGGTAGAAAAATTGGAAGTGGATCATTTGGAGACATTTATCTGGGTAAGTATAAACTTAAACACACGTATACACGCTTGCCATAAAGCTGTCAAGGTCGCGTAAAGATATATAGGATCGTAGCAGTTAAATAACGCGTAAAAATATTAGCGTAAACCCAAATTTAAAGGCCTACAGAATCTGGTTTAATATAAATTAGCTGAATACAATCGAGTGACTTGTTCGAGAGAAACCAATAAACACAGCGATGGAGCTACGAGTTGGAAACCGATACAGACTGGGTAGAAAAATTGGAAGTGGATCATTTGGAGACATTTATCTGGGTAAGTATAAACTTAAACACACGTATACACGCTTGCCATAAAGCTGTCAATAATATAACACGGCTAACAAGTTGTATTGTTTCATATATCTGTCAACTGTAACTGTCAGTGGCGGTTTGTCCAAAGATTGACTCGTTATAGTCTGCTTATGAGCACCGTTTCTCAGTCCTTTGGGCATTTATATGAAAAACCGTGTTTTATAACCATGACAAGAACGTATTTCAGACCACAAGTGGTTTATAGAAGTTGCAGAGTAGAAAGTTTACGTCCCGTTTCGAACAAGCTCATATAACTTAGTGGTTTAAACACTCCAGGATGTCATACGTGACCGTAAAAATATGTGCTTTTGACATTAGACACAGATAGTGACATCAAATATAATACAACACTTGCTGTAAATTGAGGTGTCATTTCACTGAACCTGTGAACATGAGTTTCCAAACAGGTCCTCCCTAAGCTGTCAATAATATAACACGGCTAACAAGTTATTGTTTCATATATCTGTCAACTGTAACTGTCAGTGGCGTTTTGTCCAAAGATTGACTCGTTATAGTCTGCTTATGAGCACCGTTTCTCAGTCCTTTGGGCATTTATATGAAAAACCGTGTTTTATAACCATGACAAGAACGTATTTCAGACCACAAGTGGTTTATAGAAGTTGCAGAGTAGAAAGTTTACGTCCCGTTTCGAACAAGCTCATATAACTTAGTGGTTGAAACACTCCAGGATGTCATACGTGACCGTAAAAATATGTGCTTTTGACATTAGACACAGATAGTGACATCAAATATAATACAACACTTGCTGTAAATTGAGGTGTCATTTCACTGAACCTGTGAACATGAGTTTCCAAACAGGTCCTCCCTTGTGTATAACTCTGAATGAATCTTACCTGTCCATACAGGTTTCACTGAAAGCGTGAACCACCAAAATGGCCAAGCCTGACATGTTGAATCAGCCTATGACGCCTGGCTGATGCTTTTGTTTGTTAAAAGTCAGGTCATACTATTAGGGCTCATGATTCATTCAGTCTCATTTTCCTGATCACAGGTTCACGGTGCATTTTGGGGAAACAATTTTGATTGATGGTGCTGTTGTGAAGCAACACAGTCAGGAACCAGAGGAACTCTTTATTTTCATGCTAGGTGGCCTTCATGGTTGAGAGCATCAATATCACACCAGGATGTTGTTGATCATTTGAGTATCTATGGTTGACATTTAGAGATTGCATTTGTTATAGAGAGCCATTGTTTTGTAATGCAATACAGAGCACCAAAGTAGGTCATTGTTTTTCTTTTATACTCTTAACAGGCGTAGCAAGTTGAATACAGGCTTTTTAATTAGGTCAGAGTCTACCATTACTACTATTAGTACTCTTAACCACCTTAGCATTTCATTTTCGACTCGAGCCTGTGATTAAATGTGTAGAGCAATATGTGACATTCATCTCTTATTCAGGAGGCATTAAAGGACATTTTGCTGCTGCTGGCCTTAATTCTTCTCGCTGTGGTCTCCTCATCAACAGGGTTTTGACCTGCAAAGTCTGACCTGCCCACAAACACTTCCGCCAGTTAGTGTGTTTACATCATGTTGAGAAGACGCTGTGTTCAAGGATACCACAGAAATACAATTCAAACCTTTTGTTGTGTGCATGTCATTTTACCAAGGACAGCTTCTGTAATCTTGGCTTTTATCTTCGTTGGCTTCTAATCTTCTTAATTTGGACTAACAAGCTCTCCGAAGCACAACCTGAAAGTACGATTGATACGTTATGTGTACCTTTTCAATGGAGTGCTGAAAATATCACATTTTTGTGCTAATATGTGATGTACACCTGATGCAGTTTTAGGTTTCCAGGTAAAGCGCGATATTACTGTCTTACTGAAGTAGTTCTGATAATTCGCTGTGAACTAGGGCTGCACGATTAATCGCATGCGATATTTAACGCGCATTTTGTCAGAAAGCCGGTTCTGTAATCAGCGGTAAATCTCCATCACCTGCGTGCTTTCACATTGAGCAGCATTAACTACACAGAGCCGTTGTTCACTGATGAGCTGCGCTAAACCACATTCATATTCGCGCGATTTTTTGCGCTGCTCATCAGTGAACAACGGCTCTGTGTAGTTAATGCTGCTCAATGTGAAAGCACGCAGGTGATGGAGATTATTACTTCGTTTAATAATAAAGAATGTAGTGTAGTGCATAGGCCTGTTACGATGACAACTTTTTGTTGTGCGATATATTGCCCCAGAAATAATTGCGATAAGCGATATTATTGTCATTTTAAAGACCATTTTATGCCACCGAATATATATAATCATAAATTAACAGCATAATAATGCAAGAAGGCCTACACACTTCCAAATGACAACAGACTTTTAATTTATAAGAATATTTAGATCATGGAAATTAAGTATCAAAGTATTAGATTAATAAATAGTACATAAACATTTTCTAACAAAAAGTGCAAAGTAACAAGTAGAAAAAAAAAAATGCACAAAGAACTTGTATGGAGATTTTTCCATCTACAGATTTTTCCCTGACCTTCTTTTCTCTGTAAATTAAGGGTGCACACTATTGCTGAAAAAC